TGGGGAGGGGCCCAAAGCAGCCCTGCATCAGCCAAGGTTGGCAGTGGTCATAAACTCATGTCAACCAAAAGGTTCTGTCCATGTGGGAGGTGTAACAAGGGCCTTAACGGTTGAAATATATGCTTTTTTGCACACTGTCTTCCCCCTCACCTAAACCTTACAAATTCAGGACCCGGGTGGAGGGGGTGGTGGCCCATTGGTTAAGAGCAGTATTCATCTTGCTTAGAGCTCCCCTGATCCCACTATCAAGTCAGACACCCAGGTGGAAAACTTTCTAAGATCTATCCTGTTTGGATCCCCAGTATTCCCCACCCATCCTTTTCATAAATATTTATTGAGCATTTACAGTGTACAAGGCACCATTCTAGTTTCAGGGGGTGGGGCATTCAGTGGTGACCCACACAGATGCTGGGTCTGCCCTTGTGAAGTCTGCAATCCATAGGAACAGACAACCAAACCTGTGATTACAGCAGTGTGACAGGCACCATGGGAGGAAAGATCAGGGTTCACGGACCTTCAGAGAACAGAAGAGGAAACTGTGGGGTACCAGAGTGAGGGCTGGGGGCTACTACAAGTGATGAGCCAGCTGAGGGGTAGGAGCTGACCTAGAGGAGAGGACCAAGTAGAGGGAACAACAAGAAAATGGAGAGGGAGAAGTCCTAGAAAGAACCCAAATACAGTACCCAAGGGAGCGGACACTTAGGTGGCCTCTACAGAACAGCCTTGGCCCTGGATTCACCTTCATAGTGCTTGACTCAGAGGGGAGGCTTGTCGTACCCATGAGCCCATACTGTGATTCATTTGTAAGGACTCACTTCCCTGTCCTGGCCATATTCCCAAAAGAGTCTGGGCTCTGGGGTCAGACAAACCTTGGTCCTTACCTTGAGCAAGTCATTTCACCTCTCTGAGCCTCAAGTTTCCTCATCTGTAAGGTAGGATTAAAGCAATACTTACTTCTCAGGGGTGTCGTGAGGAAGCAGCTGTGCCCTCATACCAATTCCTGGCACATCATAAAGTCTGAATAAACACGAACTGTAGTTCTGCCTGATTGACTGTGATGCAGAAAGTGGCAGGCATATGGGGGCTCACTATGCTCTTCTTTTTACTTTTGATTATGTTGAAATTATGATAATAAAAATTCTTTTAAACTCCTGCTCATATAACTTTTTGCAACGGCTGCTATGATGCATGCTCCTTTGGGAAGTGCTCTCATTCATTAGAATATGACAGTAACAGGAGACCAAAACATTCCTCCAAAATTCTCCACTTTCACCTGCCAGGTTCATCCTCCCCAGTACTCAGAGGGGCCCTGTCCTGCCCCCCAGCCCATCCCGATTCTATAAGGGTTCCAATGCCAGCATCAGAGCTTCAAAATCAAGTGTAAGAAGGAAATATTGAAACCTTAATTTTATTTATTTTAAATCTAAAAAAAGAGAAAGGCAAGCATTACTAATACTTAAAATATGAATTGAAACTCTGTACTCCAAGATTTAAAGTGCACAGCCTTACCTATGACTCACCAAAGGACAAATTTTCTCATCTAAGATTCTGGAAAAATGGCGAGTTGAAGGGAAACACATAAATTAACTCTTGTTTCTTTTTGTTTCAATGAGAGGAGACCTTCTCCAGACTTGGTTAGCCAGCTGCAATATAGATACTGACTTGAATGTACAAGTCCTCTGTTGAATATAAATACAAAAAAGATAGAGTTTTTTAAAGGTATAGATTGACAGGATACATAAGTTATTCATCAATCAGAAACACATATTGGGTGTGAGTGTTCCAAAGCGTTTGCTCAATAGAATCGGTGAAGCTTGGAGCAACTGGTCTTTATAATACACTATGTGGTCCCTCCGTGGTGGGATCATGGCTCAATGAAGAGGGATGCCTGATGTCTTGTCTTTGGTGCCCAAGAGAACCATCTGCTCACACAGATTAGAGGAAAATTTAGCAGAAACCATAATATCTACCTGAATTTCCAGGGCCAGGTGAGTATCTCATGTACTCAAGCAGTCCTGAAAAAAATGAGTCACATAGAAACAGACCCTGGGAATTAAGAAGGAGCCCCCTTGCCAATTAGGGACCACCATGCTCACTTCAGCTAAACTCTCTGCATCTGCAAGATGTCCCCTCCCCACCCCAAAAGGGAGAAGGGAGAGCTGTTACAGAAGAAAGGGTCAGTGGGCCCTAAGAATAGGGGCTTACTGTTGGAGACAGGTCCAGATGAAGCATTTGGAGTTTGTGACCTAAGGGTCCTGCTGGACCATCAACTCTGACCCCTAGGCCAGGATATTCAGCCAAATTCCTCAAAAGTGGGTGCTGTCTGAGAGAGTCCAGGGCCAAAGAATCAGAGCTGGTTCTTTTCACCTAACACTGCAGAGGGTCTTGCAACTCCCTGCAGAGAAGAAGGGATGGGAAGTGAGCCTGACCCATCTGCTCTCCTCTCAAAGGCTTGGGAACTCTGGAAGGTGGATATGTATATCTGTGCAGTCAGGCAGACGCTTGGCCAGGAGGTCTGGGTTCAAGTCCTAGCTCAGTTTCTTATAAGCTTTGTAAACATGGGCCAGTCACTGGCCCTCTCTGGGCCCTTGTTTCCCCACCTTCCACTTGGACAGAATAATACTCTCCTACTTCTGAGAGATGCCAGCATGACAATTGCAACCTAAGACCACAGTTAGAAATAGACCTAAAAGCATTTAGGAAATTTAAACAATTCTTTATAAATATGATGAATGATAACTCTCTACTCAACTAGAAGCAAGAATAAGTGTTTGGGACAAAGGGTTTCTTGCATTCCACATGCACCCCAAGTTTGATGGCAAACAGAGTTGGTAGGGGTGGGAAGCCTAGTCTCCCCCTCCCTCCCTGCTTCCTTCTCAGGGAGTCCTGCAGAAAGATCATGGGATCATGGACCTCAGTGGACCACCAGGGTCCTCTCTGGGACATGGAGAGTATGCACACAGAAAGAGGTTGCTCCTGAGCTGGCCCTGCCTCCTGCTGGCTGCCTCATCAATCTATCATCCTCTTAGCAGCTGACACCTCTGGCAGCACCTCCCGGCAGCCCAACATTAGAATTGCAAGAAGCCTGTTTGCACCAGGGAATACAGATGGAGGGATCTCAGATTCAAATTTGTCTAAGTATTATGAACAGCCAGACCCAGGCAAGGCGTTTCTACTGCCCTTCCGCCAAAGGGGAGCAATGGGGATTTTGTTGGAAGTACAAATTGCTTCTTAATGCAGAGGATAAATCTGGGTGCTGGCACCTCCTTAGAAATTCCTCCTGCTCCCAGGAAAGCCACTGCTGCATGTCAATTTTAATTTTTGAAATTTAAACCAAGGGCTTTGTGTGTAAGCTCCATCTCATTGGAGGAAGTAAAAGAATAAGTCAAAAAGAATTAGAAGCCCACTGGGGATTGCAGATCCATAGCAATTAGACTTCATTTGCGTCTCAGACATTTGGTTTTAATCGCATTTCTGGATGATACAATCGACAAGACATCAGAAATTGATATGTATGCAACTGCCGATGGGGCCCAACTCTGCCCTCCCCAGTTCCTGGGCTCAGCTGGGTTTGGGCTCCACAATCAGCAGGGGTAAAGTGTGGCTGAGGAATTGGGGTTCAGGTTTGGTCTATAACTGGGGAAATGGTGTTTTTTGTGAGTGTGTGTGTGTATACATACATATCAGATACATATACATGTGTGTATGTGTGTGTGTGTGTGTGTGTTTTCCACCTTGCTGTTTTTAAGCCCCTTATCCCTGGACTCAAAACAACTGCAATCATTGCTAATGCTCAAGTGAATGACAATGAAACATTATTCAAATAAAATAAGAGCATAAAGAAGAATAGCAACAGTGACAGGATGTGAAACAAGGGATATAATTGTCTTTTAAATGGGAATTACAGCTTTCATATCCTCCAGGAACTAAAGTCAATCACACCGTGATTTGGGGGCTGACATACAACCAATAACATTGTCACACACATGGACCTATGAATGCATAAGTGTGTGTGCATGTGTAACATAGATTAGTGATGACAACCACAACAGTATATCCATATGGGTGTGTGTGTGTGTGTGTGTGTGTGTGTGTATGCCTCCAGCTTTACACAGGTACACACTGTGGGGTTACACCTGTGTACACACATTTCTTCAAATAACTGGTCAAAATGAACTCAGTACTAACAGGTGGTTAACTGGTTATTTTATAGATAATTTATTGTGTATTGGAATTTAATGATCTAAAAACAAAAAAAAGTAAATCAAAACCAGGTGCAGTGTTTTCCTCCCTTGTGTGGGTGGAATGCGGACAGAGGAGACCACACACATTCGGGCTCAGAGCAGGTGCCCACAGCACCATGCACTTGGGTAGGGAAGACCCCAGAAAAGGGTGTCCCTGACAAAGGGATTGTACCCATCTCTTCTGACACAGTCCTGGGTGAATTCAGAGAGTTGGATGATTCTCAGATTGCCTCCGTTTACCAGCTCTTTTGAGAGCTGTGGCCCTGGCTGGTGGTATGAGCAAATGGACAGGTACTGAGTATAGTGTGTGCCTGAGTGGGTTTGTTCCTGATTGGACTTCTGCACTTCCTTTAAGGGACAAACATCTCAGAGATGAGCTGCTGACAACTGGCTCATTCCTGCCTCCACTCTGCATCCTCTACCTCTTCCTTCTCCACAAACCCCTGCCCTTTGACTTCCCCCAGCAAGACTGAGAACTTGGTGATTCAGCCACTCCTCTCCTGTCTACATCTAATTTTCTCTCCCCCACCTCCTCTGGACTTCTCTGGTTCAGGGGAGAAATGCTCCGGGAAGGGTTGGACGCTGCTGCTCCATCACCCCACATCTTTTCACCCACCTCAGGTGGCAGGGACAAGGCAATGGCTGACAAGCAGGCATAGATGAGGCTATTTGGGACTCAGGTAAGGTCTGTATGCCAAGGTGGACATCTGGAGGTCTGGCTTTGGGGCCACCCTGACAAAAACATCACAGCCCATAGTCTAGAAACATAATTTAATGCATCGCAGTTGGTCTGAGTCAGGAGTACGGTGAAGAAGCGAATTTTCCCTTTGCTGGGACTCTTCAGCGGTGGGGTTTTGACTGATGGACAGGGACATTTGCACAAGTATTTAGAGTCTCAAAGGACACCCCAGGGAGGTCATGCTCATTTTGGCCTACCTCCGCTGGCCAGGAGTGGAAGGCCTCGGTCTCAGGGCACTTGCAGGAGGAGGGACTGGAAGAGGGCAGTTAATCCACCCAGCCTGCCCAGTCCAATCAGGTTTGCAAACTGTGCTGCGGCCACCCTGCCACTGTCCACCGCCTCTGGAGTTCAGGTCACGCTCATCTCCCCACGTTGGCGTTGCCCTCCCCCTCCCCAGGTTGGGGACATGAACCAGGAGCACTGCTCAGAGCGCAGTGAGTCGCAGACACACTGAGGACGGGAGCGGGGCAGGGAGGACAGCAGGAATGTGTCTTTTCCAACGGTATCAGAACTGTCATGAAGCGAGAGTGGTCCTTGCTAGGGAACAGCGCGCCCCTATGAGTATGGGGCGGCCTGAAGCCACCTCACCTCGCGCTCACTGCGACTCTAGTCCGGGTAGAGAAGAAAGCCGGAGAACGTGCTGTACTTGTTGTTATTTCCTCCATGCGCCTTCCCGCCATCCAGCTTCACATACACTTCGTCCCCAGCATCGAGGTGAAGCACCACGCTGTTACTGGCGTAGTCATAGTTCTGGTCAGCGTCCTGCGCGATAGCGCTGGCCCGGACCTGGGGGTAAACCACCGGCGCTGTTGGGTTGGGGCACTTCTGCCTCGGCTCTTACCCGGCCCCCACCTGGCGCGCCCCCTGGCCACCTTCTGTACTTGGCTCCGGGGTCCACACTCCCACCCAGGCTCCACTTTCTCTCTCCAACTTAGCTAACTCCTCGGTCCCCTCTTCTCTGCTGGCAAGTCCGGGAAAGAGACCACGCTTCATGAACACCGACCTAGCAGGGAAGCGTGGAGACTGTAGGGCAAAGGGGTGAGCTGGGCGCGCAGGAGGAGCTAAAGAAGAAAGGTTTCTTCTTTAGGAGCCCAGAGAACTGCAGGCAAACTACGCAAGTAGCCAGGGAGAGCAGTTTGAGTAGCGGGCCTCTGGGCGCTCTGGGCAAAACCTCCCGAGCTACATTCGGATAAACGCGACCAGGGTACATTGGGAAGCCGGATCCTGAGGCACGCTCCCTCCTCGGGCTCGCTCTCGCGCTTGCAAGAGAGAAGAGAGGACGTTGGCTCCCAAGCCATTCGGGGCACCGGGTGAGGACAAGGGTCTGTAGGGACTTGTGGAACGACAGGGGTGGGGATGGGAAGGAGGGTCACTGACCTGCCCGTTCTTGCAAAGGTCTGCCCACATGCTGGTGCCGTCGCCGCCGCGCATTAGGATGTGGTAGGTGAAGAAGTAGATGCCGCGTACCTGGCAGCTGAACTTGCCGGTAGTTGGGTCATAGTGATTACCGAGATTGGTAACCACGTCATCGAACTTTAACACCTCGTAGCCTTCGTGAGGGCTCTTGAGACCCACGTAGAAGGCTATCTTTGGACCACTGAAGGCAGCGCTGAGAGCGCCGGTCACTTCGCCCTCAGAATCATCGCCGCCCCGGGTTCCGCCACCCACCACCCCGTCACCTCCTGAAGCTCCAGCTGTAAGCTGCAGCCCTGGCAGCCCGGGCCGCCCCGAGTCGCCCTTCTCCCCTGGAGGACCCCTGGGACCAGGCGGGCCCGGCTCTCCAGGGGGCCCCCGCGGCCCGGGCTTGCCAGGTCGCCCGGGGTCGCCTTTGGGTCCCTGAATGAAAGGGGGTGGAGGGTTGGCGCTCAGGTCTTGCATGACTTCTAGGGCAGCAGTGCTGGGTCCAGGTGGCGACGCCTTGGCGCCCGCAGGGCCCCCGCCCGGTGCAGCGCTGTATGGATCGCAGATCATGCGGCAGGTGCCCATCATCTCGTAGTGTGCTGCTCCGGGGGTTGTCGCCTGCAGCAGCAGTGGCACCGCGATGAGCAGCCCCAGTGCCATGGCCAGGAGCACGCCGACGGCCGCCAGGCAGGCACGCCGCCGACGCTGCCACTGCCGGGAAGCGACCGCCACCAGCTCCGCCTTGCCGCCCGGGGAGGTAATGGTTGGGCGGCGCGGGCGGCCCAGCTCCCCGCGCTCGGGGGCCGACTCCGCGGGTCCTGGCCGCACCTCCGACGTGGTGATCCCCTACACCGGACGCTCAACTACTTCAGCTAGTGGTGCCCCAGCCCAGGCGCAGGTGCTCACTGTGCTAGGGCTGTCCCGGAGAGCTGAGAAGCTCAGCGCGCATGGCGGGGATGCACAGGACAAGCCCCGTGCCCTACGGTCCGGCCGCAGGCGGCGGGGGGACAGGGTGAGGATGCTGCGTCAGGGGTGGGCTCGGCGACTCGGACTCTTGACTCCGCGGGGTGCAGCGGGGCTCCGCGGGGCTCCTTGTGCAGCGAGGGCGCCGGGTGTCTGCGGTGAGTTCTGCTCTGCTCTCCCGCGGCTCACTGGCTGCAGCGCAGAGTGGGTACCCAGCTACCCTGACGTAAGTAGTCCAGGGCTGAGATGCGGAGGCGGCGAGGCAACGCACGCAGCCATCACTCGGGAGACCGGAGACGGCGCCCTCAAGTCACCAGGCTTCCTTACTCCTCCTTTAGGGCGGCGTCCCTGGAAGAGATGGGAAAGGCACATTTCTTTCTGCTGGTACCTGGGAGCCACAAGTGGGCGCAGTGGGCACAGCCGGGAGCCCAGCGCTTCAGACACACCCATCGCAGGCCACTCTCACGCGCCTCCCACCAACCACACACGAACGCTCACGGGCGCACTTATGGACGCACACAGGCACCTCCGTAAGGCCACGAAGGCACCCAGAAACTTGATACCAGCAAGGTCTTGGAGAGTCACCAATCCATTCCCCTACCTCCGTGCAGGACCAGACCTCGGCCCACCAAGGAGATCTCAGACCATGAAGCCCTGTGCAAAGGACTTTCTGAATGCCCTCCCGAGCTACTTCTTCAGAATAAATCACTCTTCTAAGTAGATTGAGGACTCCAAGCTGCTATAGAGGATCCAGAAAACCACCCCATCAACTCTTTTAATGGCTCTTTGAAAAGCCCTCAGCCCCCTTCTTACACCCATAAAATGTCTGGCCCTTGTCTGCTGTATAAAGTTCATTTAGAGATGCAAATGCTGAACACCCAGCACTTGGTGGTAACCTTGGTGCACTCTGCTCCCACTTCCAGCTGGCCACTACCAGTCAGATCCTCAGGCAGGCAGGTGTCTGTGGATATCGGAAGCCCTCTCCTACTGAGGTGGGTTTATTTAAAAAGAAAACAAAAGCAAAAAACTTCAAAACCATTCTGAGCTGAAGTCTCAACTAAGTGGTGACACCAGATTTAGAGAATTATTTTTCTCCAGTGCACCCTGAAAGAATAAAGGAAGGATGTGAATACTCCTGTGTATTGATTGGGAAGACCTCCAGCCCAGAAATCAAAAGTTCTGTCTTCTGGTTCTGCTCTTGCCCTCAGCAGCTATGTGACTTTGGACTAGTTGTCTCCTGCCCCACCCCTCCCTGATGTGGAGAATACACCTGGCCAAGCCTGGGAGAAAAGTCCACCCACAGGCTTACACCATTGTCTTGCAGAGTATCAGCATCTCTGAAACAATCTTGTGCCCTCTTGAGGCTATTGCTTTGAAGAGAACATTCATTTATCAGGTATTGTGTTCTCATGGGTTCCTTTAAAATCCATTTTGTTGCTCTGTGGTCACTCTGAGCCATTTCCCCACCCCAACCCACGTTGCTCCAATCTCTCCCTTTAGCAGTGTATTCCCCAGAGATTAACAGAAGATCTGGATCCTGGTACACCCACAGTACATATTTGTAGAAAAGATAACTAAACTGAGCTTGATAAAAACTTTACCTAGGAGAGAAGTGGGACAAGGAACTCCTTTTACTGGGCATTTGCTAAACTGTATCAGGCACTTTGCATGTGTTCCTTCACTTACTCACCCCAACAGTCCTATGCATTAGCAATTCCCCCATTATATAGATGAAAAACAAAGGCTTTGAAAATGTATGTTGCATGCCAGTGTTCTCCACCCATATGACTGGGCCAGGCTCCTCCTCACACCAAGTCCAGGGGCTGGCAGTGAATGCAGAATTGACAACTAGCTCCTGGCCACAGTCTTCATTGGATTGTTGAGTTCTGGGGACACTCTTTTCCCTTTTCTAGGGCCACACCTAGAACTAGTGAGACACAGTGACTCCAGGAGCCACACCACCTGGTTCCAAGCTTGGCTCTGCGACTTTGTGTCCATGTGACCTTGGACAAATTGCCTCACTTCTCTGAGCCTCAGTCTCCATGCATGTTGAATAAGAATGACAACAGTACCTACCTCAGAGTTCTTTAGAGATCAAATGAGTGAATTAATATAAAGGCCTTAGCATAATAGCTGGCTCAATAAGTGTTAGTTATTATTATTAACATTGATACTTTAGACCTCTACCATCATGCTTAAGACCACTAAGATGAGATATGTGGTCAGTAAGCAGGGTTGGGGAGATGAGTTTATGATTTTTGAAAGAGAGAAACCCAGAGATACCTCACACACCCTATCTTTCTCTAAAGTCAAGAAAGGGAACCACACTGTGCTTCCCACATTCCCCTCAGCCTGCCATGCTCAGGCTTCCTGCCCTGTCTCAAGACTGACCAGACTGTTTCTGGTCATCAGCTCCACCTGGACAAACATTTTCAGGCAGATAATTACTCTTTTTGGGTTTCCTGGCCCTGCAGACTATCATCCCCAAATCCTAGTGTTCTTGGCCCTGCAGGATCTGTCAGGGAAGAAGCAAGGAGGAACAAATGTATGAGATCCAGCTTTTCATCCTCACAGACAATGCTACCTGTCCTGAGGATCAGCATTCCCAGGAGCACCTACAGCCCTACACAGAAGGAGCTTTCTTCCAAGTTCAGCCCTCCACCACGGGCAGGAAAAGCTGCAGCTAGAGAAGACAGAGCAGGCAGCCTCCCATTCCAGACCACATAAGTCTTGAGACCTGCCCTTTCTCCCTCTCTCCCTCCCTTCCTTCCTCCTACAGTGACAGAGCCAGACAGAGTGGCCTGCTGGATTATTTGACACACCTTCTCATCTACCTGGCTTCTGCTCCCCATGAGTGATTCACATCATCAGTGACTATCTTCTCATTACTATTATAATCTTTATTAGCGTATTGTCTTCCATTTTGACTGTAGTTTTACATTTCAAGGCCCAGTAATGAATCAAATCTGCACAAAACTGCCCTTAGTAGTCCAGCCTGCATTTCTTCCACCAGCATCCATTGACAACTAGTCACCTCTAATTTTTTACCCGCCAAAGCCCTCATGGTCTATGACATATGGTTTGACACTTGATCACAGGCTGTTTTGTTTGCTGCTCTAATGGCCAGCAACAGGTACCCTCCTCATTCATCTGCATTACAGTGTCTTCAACTTGGAATGCTTGTCTCTACTCTTTCCTCTAGACTCATCCTTAATTATCCTTCAAGTTCAAGCTAAGTGTCACCTTCTTGTCCAAAGTCTTCCCTGAACCTTCCCCAAGAAGAGCTGACAATTCCTGAGGATAAAGAGTACCTTGAACATACATATCCCTGCCATCATGTATCATGATGAAAAGTTTGTTTACTTCTTAGTTTCCTACAACAGGCTTTGAACTCCCATAGGGCAGAAATCATTCATGCATGCATGTGTCATTCATTTGTTCAATAAATACTCATTGAATTCAGTTGTGCTGCATGCTGAGTGTGTAGTGGTGAACAATACAGGGATGGTTCCCCTCCATTTTGGCTGTCCAGAAAGCCTTCCTCAACTTCCTCCTCGTTCTACTTATGTTCTTAGGTTTGCATCTGAGCTGTCACTATCTGGCATGGCTGTTTATTGACACATTTTCTTTGAATTAGACCTGTGTCCCCCACTAGACTGCAAGCTCTTTAGAGACATCATCTTGAATACAATGGCCAATCTCTTGGCTCCATCCACAAGGGGAAGGGCAGCATGACATAAAAGGCCACATCATACAAGGCCTTGGGGTCCACATTAAAAGATATGGCTTTTATCCTGAACACAATCTAGAGACTCTTAAGGAGTTTTAAGCAGAGGAGTGACATGATGCACATTTTTCAAAGATGACCCTGGCTGCTGTGGTGAATGGTGTGGGGGAGGGAGTGGAAATGAAGAAACTAGTCTGAAAGCTATTGCATTATCCAGTCAAGAGGCAATGATGGTTTGGTGTGAGTTAGTAGAAGAGAAGTGGGTGAAGTCTAGATGTATTTTGAATGTGGAATACAGTGCTCTTGCTAATGGATTTGAGAAGAAAGTTGAGAGAGGAGGAGAAATCAGGGTTAACTCCTTAGACATGGCTTAAGTAACTGGGTGAATGAATATGAGAAAGGGGATTTTTGAGGAAGAACAATGTATTGCAGAAGATGGAAGGTGGGAGGTGAAAGGATTTGCAAGCTCACTTTAGTAAATGTTAAATATGAGATGTCAGTAAAATATTTAATGAAATCACTACATGGCTAATAGACTCAGAGATGAGGTCAAACTCATAGCCTTGAGAATGAAGAATGAGGATTGGTAGTGGAAGAGGGAGAACCCAGTCTCATGAAGAACAACCCCTCCACCCTAGTCATCACAAAGCTGATTAGAGGAGAAAGGGAAAACTTCACCAGAGATTGAGAAGCAGCAGCCAGACTAAGGAAGACGCCTAGCAGAGTGATTTACAGAGGAGAGCATCTCAAGAGGGAAGATATAACTATTTACTTAGAAATGTGCTAAGAGATAGCGTAAGATGAGGACAAAAAGGTATCCAGTGGGTATGGCAACATAGAAGTAGCTCAGGGCTGTGGCAGAGATAATGCTGTATGCTCACAAAACCATTTCCTTTTTCCTTTTTTTCCTATAGTTGGGCAGAGCCAAACTATATTTCCCAGTTTCTCCTTCAGAATGGTGGGGACATGAGACTGGACTCTGG